TTGAGACAGGGTCTTACTCTGTTGCCTAGGCTGGAGTGCAGTGGTGCAATCTCAGCTCACTGCAACCTCAGCCTCCCGGGTTGAAGCGATTCTCCTGTCTCAGCCTCCCAAGTAGCTAGGACTACAGGTGCGCACCACCATGCCTGGCTGATTTTAGTAGAGATAGGGTTTCACTATGTTGGCTAGGCTGATCTCGAACTCCTGACCTCGTTATCTGCCCGCCTCAGCCTCCCAAAGTGCTGGGATTACAGGCATGAGCCACCGCCCCTGGCCAGCTGTTGGCATTCTTTAGTAAATGTGTTTTTCTTTTTTTTAGCCCAGAGGCTACTGTACATTTATTTCAATATCTGTGGCCATTTGCTGTTTTTCTTTTAAATTATAGTCATCTTACAGTTTTTGTGTTCTTTGGTCATTGAAATGCTGACATTCTTGGAGCTCCAGCAGAAATGTTCAGAGTCCCCCACAGTGGGGGTTGGTAAGCAACTAAGATTTCCCTCACTTCACCACAAATCTGGGCTAATGGGATCATAAAGTTTGCAGAACTACCTCCAAGAATTGCTACGTAACATGTGAAACCTGTATTATTTGCTCAAAGTGCCCTCAACAGTTAGATGATCCAAACTGGTAACTCAGTGATTTGGAAACATGCCCATAGTATTGATGTCCACTTGTCCAAACTTCTTATTATCAAAGTAAGCCCACACGTATTGTGTAAATAAAATGTCCTACAGGAGCTCATAGCAGAGTGGTATCTTATTTCAAATGTGAAACCTATTGCCAAAGGGTTAGATTTGATATCCTAGCATGAAGAGCTCCTGAATCATTTTTCTGATTAATTTGTGTTGTTTTTGTTCTTCTTTTTGCAGTGCACTAATTCAGTTTTTCCAGATATTTCCCGAATATAAAGATAATGACTTTTATGTCACTGGGGAGGTAAGTAGAAGTCACGTTTCCTTGTGTGCTTCAAACATCACCAGAACTGACATATATTATGAGTGTAGTTTGTTC